TGGTAAGGGGTTCATGTGGAAATGGGACATGAGATCAGTTTTGTCACATTTTCTTTCACCAGAAAGAATTTGGGAGACTTGCTCTGAGAAAAATCTCCTCACAATTATCCTATTATAGGTTTGAGAAGAGGTTCTGAGGAAGAATTGACACTAGGAGGCAAATGAAATTGTATTTCGCTATACATTGAGTGTTGCTGTCATTACCTTCATAGCATGTCATCATATTAATTGGTTTTCATGTATGATTTTAATAAATTATAAAATGGTGAAAGAAATGCTTTATTGTGTTCAGAAAATGTGAGCCTTGGTTTCTAGCCACGTTCTCTGCCTTTTAGTGTTTTTTCTCCATTCCTGAAAATAATGCCAACTGAGTTTGATAAGAATGAAAGTAAGTGGTGGCCCAGGCCTTTTAATCTCAGCACTCAAGAGGCAGAGGCAGGTGAATCTCAGTGAGTTCCAGGACAGCAAAGACTATACAGAGAAACCCTGTATCGAAAAATCAAGAAAAAAAAATGGAGCTATGTTGGCCAGGCTTGGTGGTGCACGCCTTTAATTCCAGCACTCAGAAGGCAGAGGCAGGCGGATATCTGAGTTTCAGGCCACTCTGGTCTACAAAGCAAGTTCTTTGTCAGCCAGAGCTACACAGAAAAACTCGGTCTCCATTAACTTAAAAAAAGCAACAACAATGGAAGTATATTTATAGACTGTTACATCCATTTACTGTTACCCATGGATATCTCCTGTTGTCTGTGCTCATGGCAATACTAGGTGCTTTCCACTGCTGCAAATGTCATATACCATAGAGATCACTTCTAAGTTTGATCCCCCTAGTATTTTCTGGCTGTCTACTGTTTCTTGGTACTTTCAGGATTACTTTCTGTAAACTATGTAATAGGATTGTGAAATATATTTTGTCTGTGTTCTGACAAATGAAGCTTGCCTGGAGTTCAAAGGGTGGAGTTAGCTGCTAGTTAACCATAGGCAGTACTTGCACACATATTTAATCTTCGCACTTAAGACAAGCCAGACTGACCTTGGTGGTGCACGCCTTTAATCCCAACACTAAGGAGGCAGAGAAAGATGTACAAGGTGGGTGGAGACAGGGTCTCTGAGTGTTCATTCATAGAGGTAAGAAATTAATGGCTGTTGTTTTGCTTCTCTGATCAATCAGCTTTTACCCTAATATCTGACTTTAGGTTTTTATTAATAAGAATTACATCAGTATTGTGATAGGAATTTCTTGCCGTCTTAGTGTTTTAAAAGAACAAATGGCAATGTGCCAGTTTTCACAGGTTTTCTGTATTCTCCTGTTTTCTGTTGTGCATGTCTACATCTAGGTTTTCTTATATGTACCCATGTTGATAAGGACTTTCTTTTTTTAATTATTATCTTTTTAACTGAGCTCTACATTTTTCTCTGCTCCCCTCTCTGCCACTCCCCTACCCCTTTACCCCCCCCCCAAAGTCCCCATGCTCCCAATTTACTCAGGAGATCTTGTCTTTTCCTACTTTTTACTTCCTATGTAGATTAGATCTATGTAAGTCTCTCTTTGTGTCCACATTGTTGTCTTAGTTCTCTGGAATTGTGGTTTGTAGGCCTGTTTTTTTTTGCTTTATGTTTAATAACCACTTATGAGTAAGTACATATGATTATTGTCTTTCTATGTCTGGGTTACCTTACTCAAAATAATGTTTTCTAGCTCCATCCATTTTCCTGCAAAATTGAAGCTGTCGCTATTTTTTTCTGCTATGTAGTACTTCATTGTTGTAAATGTAGCACATTTTTCTTATCCATTCTTCGGTTGAGGGGCATTTAAGTTGTTTCCAGGCCCTGGCTATGACAAACAAAGCTGCTATGAACATAGTTGAGCACATGTCCTTGTGGCATGATTGAGCATCCTTTGGATATATACCCAAAAGTAGCATTACTGGGTCTTGAGGAAGGTTGTTTCCTAATTTTCTGAGAAATCACCACACTGACATCCAAAGGGGCTGTAGCATTCCCACCAGCAATGAAGAAGTGTTCCCCTTTCCCCACAGCCTCTCCAGCATAAGTTGTCATCAGTATTTTTGATCTTGGCCATTCTTACAGGTGTAAGATGGAATCTCAGAGTTGTTTTGATTTGCATTTCTCTGATGACTAAGGATGTTGAACATTTCCTTAAGTGTCTTTCAGCCATTTTAGATTCCTCTGTTGAGAGTTCTCTGTTTAGGTCTATATTCCATTTTTTTTTATTGGATTATGTGTTCTTTTGTTGACCAATTTCTTGAGTTCTTTGTATATTTGGAGATCAGGCCTCTGTCTGATGTGGGGTTAGTGGAGATCTTTTCCCGTTCTGTAGGCTGTCGTCTTGTTTTTTGACCATGTCCTTTGCTTTACAGAAGCCTTTTAGTTTCAGGAGGTCCCATTTATTAATTGTTTCTCTCAGTGTCTGTGTTGCTGGGGTTATATTTAGAAAGTGGTCTCCTGTGCAAATGAGTTCATGTGTACTTCCCACTTTCTCTTTTTTTTATGTTTTTCTTTTTTTTTTTTTTCGAGACAGGGTTTCACTGTAGTTTTGGAGCCTGTCCTGAAAATAGCTCTTGTAGACCAGGCTGGACTCGAACTCGTAGCAGTCTGCCTGCCTCTGCCTCCCAAGTGCTGGGATTAAAGGTGTGCACCACCACAGCCTGTAGCTCCCTACTACAGCTTTCCATATGGAGTTGAGTACTGTTCTTTCGAAGTCTTTGAAGAATTTTCCTGGGATTTTTTTTTTTTTTGTGGGGGGTGGTTTTCGAGACAGGGTTTCTCTGTCCTGGAACTAGCTCTGTAGACCAGGCTGGTCTAGAACTCACAGAGATCCATCTGCCTCTGCCTCCCGAGTGCTGGGATTAAAGGCGTGCGCCACCATCGCCCGGCTTGCCTTTGCTGGGATTTTGATAGGCATTCTATAGATAGCTTTTGGTAAGATTGTCATTTTTATTATGTTAATTCTGCCTACCCAAGAGCATGGGAGATCTTTCTACTTTCTGGTGTCTTCTTCAGTTTCTTTCTTCAAAGATTTAAAGTCCTTGTCATACAAGTCTTCCACTTGTTTGGTTAGAGTTACTCCGAGATATTTTTTTGTTATTTGTAGCTATTGTAAAGGGTGTTGATTCTCTGATTTCTTCCCCAGCCCTCTTATCATCTGTGTACAGGAGGGCTACTGATTTTTCTGAGTTAATCTTGTATCCTGCTACATTACTGAAAGTGTTTATGCGTTGTAGAAGTTCCTTGGTAGAATTTTTGGGATTGCTTATTTAAACTATTATATCATCAGTGAAAGTTTGACTACTTCTTTTCCAATTTGTATCCTCTTGATCTCCTTTTGGTGTCTTATTGCTCTAGTAGCACCTCAAGAACTATATTGAACAGATATGGAGAGAGTGGACAGCCTTGTCTTGTTCCTGATTTCAGTGGAATCGCTGGGAATTTCCACTTGGTTTGATGTTTGCTGTTGGCTTGCTGTATGTTGCCTTTAATATATTTAGGTATGTTCCTTGTATCCCTGCTCTCTCCAAGACCTTTATTATGAAGGGGTGTTGTATTGTGTCAGCAGCTTTTTTGGCATCTAATGAGATGATCGTGTGGTTTTTATTTTTCAGCTTGTTTATATTGTGGATTGTGTTGACAGATTTTTGTATGCTGAATCATCCTGCATCTCTGTGATGAGGCCGACTTGGTCATAGTGGATGATGGTTCTTCTGTGTTCTTGGATTTGATTTGCCAGTATTTTATTTAGTATTTTTGCATCAATGTTCATGAGCGAGATTGGTCTCTTTCTCAGTCATGTCTTTGTGTGGTTTGGGTATCAGGGCAATTGTAGCAAAAGAGTTTGGCAATTTTCGATAAGGAGTTTCTAACTAAAAAATCATATTATTGTTTGCTAATACTCTCTATTTTGTATTTTGATACTTTTTTATTGATTTTTTGTACCTACTTTACATATGGTCTTCGAAAGTCTTTACAGCTATTGACAATAAAAAATTCTTTCTTTAGTATGTTGTATTATTAGATATTAAATAAAATTTTGGTATAAAATCTTTTTTGAGTCAGGTAGTAGATAAAATTTTGGTCGGATATCTATGCTTTGGACTGGGTGGTGGGGCAAGCTTTTAATCCCACCACTCGGGAGGCAGAGGTAGACCTGGTCCACAGAATGAGTTATAGTACAGACTCCAAAGCTACACAGAGAAACCTGTCTCGAAAAACCTAAAAAAGAAAATACATGTTTTAAATTCAGTTTTCATTAATCTTTTTTTTTATGATATAATCTGTTTATCTCTTTTGCTTAGGGCATATTTACATTTATATTTCAAGAAATTTTCAAGAAAATTTTATATTTATATTCATATTTCAAGAAATTACTGAAAGAAATGCATTTGCTATTCTTCAGGAACTTGACTGTAAACTGACTAGGAAGACTTGGCATCTCTGTATATTAAATTTACCTTAGGTTTCAGTATCTACATATTGGCTGTTTCAGCTGCTGTTGAACATGGTTTATTGAATTCATTTGCTTACTTATTGATTGTGTTATCATTTGCTTCTTTTGTATTTTTTTGATAGATTCTGGCTTTTTATTCATTGTAATACAAAGGGATAGCTAATAAATTCATCTGCTGTGTAGACTGTCTCTTTATGATGTTTTTGTTGTTATTGGGGTTTCAAGATAGGAATTCTCTGTGTAACAGCCCTAGTAGTCCTGAAACTGACACTTTAGACCAGCCTTGCCTCCAACTCACAGAGATCTGCCTGTCTCTGCCTCCTGAGTGGTGGGATTAAAGGTGTGCACCACCGCTGCCCACCTAGATATTTTTTCTTAAAGATTTCTTTATTATGTATACATACACAGAAGGGGGCATCAAATGCTATTATAGATGGTTATCATGAAAGTCTTTAATTCATTATGTGTAGGAGAGATTTGAACCCAGTTCATGTTTTCATATGCAGATAGATATTTTTCCCAATACCTCTGTTTGGAGGCTGTCTAGTCTGCAGCAGACCTCTGTGGTCTTTTGATGACATTGACAGGGTCATTGCTATTGGGCAGGGTCTGGATCTGCTGCTGTAGTACACCGAGCTGTTTGTCTTCCTCTCCCATGATGCTATTGGTTGGCTCTGCAGTGTCATCTGGAATTACACTGGATTATCTCAGACATGTATCATTTTCCTCAGGCTTCTCTGTACCTAGGGAATCTGTGCATCAATATGATTTCTAGGTTTCTCTTTATGATTTCTGAAGTATCTTGTGGGAAGGTTAAATGTCTTGATATTTGAACTGATCATATATCCACTTCCAGAAATACTGTAAATTTCAGAATTGTGTCCCATTTCATCTGTATAAATCATCTTTCCATGTTCTATTAGCATTTTCACTTCCTTCAGTGAGTCCAAGTTTTTATTGCAAAGTACTTTTATCTGCTTGATTAGTTCAAGGAATTTTTATTAAGTTTTCTTTCTCTCTTTGCTGATTTTTAGTTACTATTCATTTATTTAGATTCATGTATTTAATGCATACTATGTTTTGCTTGAGGGTATGACTGTATATCATGTGTGAAATTACCTGGCACAAGTGAGAAGGAACCAGAAAACAGGCAACAAACCTGCTTAGGAGTTTATTACCTGGGGAATTGGTGTGCAGAGAGAGGGAGGAAGATGGAGCTTCCAGCTTTTAAAACCTGCCTAGCACATGCATACAGGGGGTTGACATGGCTACGTCATACACAGATGATGGGGCCCATGCATGCACGCAAGATCTTGGCTGAGTCATATGTGGAAGTAACCATGCATGTGCTGCATGTGGGTCACAGGAGACCCTTTAACATTAGGGCACATGAAAACAGGATCCAGCACTCTGCTGTTTAAAAGAAACACACTTCAATATCAAAGACAGACAGTACCTCAGAATAAAGGGTTGGGAAAAGGTTTTTCAATCAAATGGATGTAAGAAACAAGCAAGTATGGCTATCCTAATATCTAACAAAATTGATTTCAAACTAAAATCAGTCAGAAGAGATGAAGAAGGATACTTTATACTCATAACAGGAACAATTCATCAATATGAAGTCTCAATCCTGAATATCTATGCTAATATAAAAGCACCCACATATGTAAAAGGAAAAAAATTTGAAAAAAGAAACATTACTAAAACTCAAATCACACATCAAACCCCACACACTAATAGTAGATTTCAACACCTCTCTCTCGCCAATGAACAGATCAACCAGACTTAACAGAGAAACAAGAGAACTAACAGCTCTAATGAATCAAATGGACTTAGCAGACATCTATAGAACATCCCGCCCAAGCAAAAAAAAAAAAAAAAATACCTTCTTCCCAGCACCTCATGGAACCTTCTTTAAAACTGATCACATACTCCGTAACAAAACATACATCCACATATACAGAAAAATTGGAGTAACCACCTGTGTCTTATTGGATCACCATGGAATAAAGTTAGAATTTAATAATAATGCTACCCCAGAAAGTATACAAACTCATCTCATGGAAATTGAACAGTCAACTACGAACTACCCCTGGGTCATGGAAGAAATAAAGGAAGAAATTAAAGTCTTCCTTGAATTCAACAAAAATGAAGACACAACATACCCAAACCCATGGGACGCTATGAAAGCAGTGCTAAGAGGAAAGTTCATAGCATAAGTGCCCACATAAAGAAAATGAAGAAAACTCACATTAGAGACTGAACAGCACACCTGAAAGTTCTAAAAAAAAAAAAAAAGAAGAAGAAAAAGAAGAAGAAGAAGAAGAAGAAGAAGAAGAAGAAGAAGACGACTCACCCAGGAGGAGTAGACGACTGGAAATAATGAAACTGTGGGCTGAAATCAACAAAATAGAAATATACAAAACAATCCAAAGAATCAATGAAACAAAGAGTTGGTTCTTTGAGAAAATCAACAAGATTGACAAACCTCCATCCAAACTAATCAAAAGGTTGAGAGAGAACACCCAAATTAACAAAATCAGAAATTAAAAGGGGGCATAACAACAAACACTGAGGAAATTCAGAGAATCATTAGGTCTTACTACAAAAGCCTATACCCCACAAAATTGGAAAATGTAAAAGAAATTGGCAATTTTTTAGATAGATACCATATACCAAAATTAAATCAAGACCAGGTGAGCAATTTAAATAGACCTATAAGTTGCGAGGAAATAGAAGCTGTTATCAAAAACCTCCCAACCAAAAAAAGCCCAGGACCAGATAGTTTTAGTTCACAATTCTACCAGAACTTCCAAGAAAAGCTAATACCTATACTCTTCAATGTGTTCCACATAATAGAATCAGAAGGGTCATTGCCAAACTTTTTTTATGAAGCTACAGTTACCCTGATACCAAAACCACACAAAGACTCAACCAAGAAAGAGAATTACAGACCAATCTCACTCATGAACATCGATGAAAAATTCTCAATAAAATACTGGCAAACCAAATCCAAGAACATATCAAAAAAAAATATGATCAGGTAGGCTTCATCCCAGAGATGCAGGGCTGGTTCAACATATGAAAATCTATCAATGTAATCCATCATATAAAAAAACTGAAAGGAGGGCTGGAGAGATGGCTCAGTGGTTAAGAGCACTGCCTGCTCTTCCAAAGGTCCTGAGTTCAATTCCCAGCAACCACATGGTGGCTCACAACCATCTGTAATGAGGTCTGGTGCCCTCTTCTGGCCTGCAGGCATACACACAGATAGAATACTGTATACATAATAAATAAATAAATATTAAAAAAAAACAAAAAAAAACTGAAAGGAAAAAAAACCTATATGATCATTTCATTAGATGCTGAAAAAACATTTGATAAAATTCAACACCCCTTTATGATAAAGGTATTGGAGAGATTAGGGATACAAGGATAATATTTAAATATAATAAAAGCAATATACAGCAAGCTGACAGCTAACATCAAATTAAATGGAGAGAAACTCAAAGCAATTCCACTAAAATCCGAAAGAAGACAAGGCTGTCGACTCTCTCCATCTCTCCTCAACATAGTGCTTAAAGTTCTAGGAATAGCAATAAGACAACATAAGGAGATCAAGGGGAATCAAATTGGAAAGAAAGAATTCAAGCTTTCGTTATTTGCGGATGATATGATAGTGTACATAGGTGACCCCAAAAACTCTACCATAGAACTGCTACAGCTGATAAATACATTTAGTGATGTCGCAGGATACAGGATCAACTCAACAAAATCAGTAGCCCTCTTATACACAAAGGATAAAGAAGCTGAGAGGAAAATCAGAGAAACATCACCTTTTACAATAGCCACAAACAGCATAAAGTATCTTGGGGTTATACTAACCAAGGAGGTGAAAGACCTATTTGACAAGAACTTTAAGTCTTTGCAGAAAGAAATTGAAGATACCAGAAAATGGAAAGATCTCCCATGCTCTTGGATTGGTAGGATCAGCATAGTAAAAATGTCAATCCTACCAAAGGCAATCTGTAGATTCAGTGCAATCCTCACCAAAATCCCAACATAATTCTTCACAGACCTTGAGAGAACAATATTCAACTTTATAGGGAAAAACAAAAAACCCAGGAGAGCCAAACAGTCCTATATAATAAAGGAACTTCCGGAGGCATTACCATCCCTGACATCAAACTCTATTACAGAGCTACAGTAATGAAAACAGCTTGGTATTGGCATAGAAACAGAGACGTTGACCAATGGAATCAAATTGAAGACCAGGCTGTTAATTCACAAACCTATGAACACCTGATTTTTGAGAAAGAAGCTAAAATTATACAATGGAAGAAATAATGCATCTTTAACAAATGGTGCTGGCATAGTTGGATGTCAACCTGTAGAAGCTACTACTGTCCATTGGACTCTATAACCTATAAGATCTACGCTGCCCCCCCAAACCACCTAAACCACCATCCTCCCCCTGTCAATCCTCCCCCATGGCATCAGTGGCCTCTGGAAGCACAGACACCACCTACTCTAATTGGAGGAAGAGGTGAGTCTCCCAGCTGAACTTCTCCAGTCTCTAGGCCCTAGGCCCTGGGCCACATACTGTGTCCCTACCCCTTCCTTCTCAGCCCCAGGAGCTGATCAGTAGGTAAGACTCCTTCAGACATGACACTCCATCACTGCTGCAATCCATTGGACTCTGAAACCTATAAGACCCACTCTGCCCCCAAACCCACCAAACCATCATCTTGCCTGCCACATACTTCAAACACAAATCGTAGAGGACTCAAGATGAATATGACCTTAAAGCTTCCTGCCTGGGGACTAGCCTTTCAAGGTTCCAGCAGGCAACATACATCCAAACGAGGAAGCCAGTCAACAGTCCCACCCATAAGACCTATGAACCACAGAAATTATGTGTAAGAGTGGCACACACACATACACACATACCCTGGAGGTAACCAATAGCTTCTGAGTGGACTTAAGACCTCAACAAGAAAGAAACATGCCTGGTATGCCAGTTTCCCTAAGTCAAGAATCTTGCAAAGGAAACCTACAACTATCACTTTACTAAATTGGCCTAATCCCTAAAAATGCATTCTAAAAATTTACCTTTATTCTAACAGATAAATGTAGTCCTTGCTCCTCATCAAGGAAAATTCTTTTCATAACACATGGAGATTATTACAGAAAACCACAATCAGTGAAAATGAAGACTTGTGATGATCCATCCCCACTGACTTATAAGCAACACAACACCTGAACCTCAGGCTCAGAGATCACTGAGAAGGGAGCTGGCTTGGGGCTTGGGGGTGGAATTAGAAACAGGATCTTTGCTGAGATTGTTTCCCCTAGAAATGTCAGAGAAGCTACATGCATAAAATCTTACAAACAGGGCTGCCTAAACATGAGCAGAACAAGGCCAACATCAAGAGACATGCTAACATGGAAGGGAGGAAGCTAACTAGGCCTAAACTCTAGTCAAACACTAAGGAATTCTGAGAACTGGAGAAATAGAGAAGAGTGCACCATATGGTTATCCAATACCAAATCTTCATCCCTGAAAATATACAGACTGAGTAGGTTGTATTTTAAAAACAATGAAAAAAAAAGTTACTAAGAAATAATAAATGCCTATGTAAAGCCAAGATTTTAGATCACCTACATAAAAATGTCTATAAGAGCCTTATACCATTTTCTATTATTGATACTCACATAAGTAAAACTTAATAGGACTAGATAGATGGCTCAATGGGCATGAACGTCTGTGACTGCTTTAGAGACGCAGGTTCCATGCTCAGGCCCCAGAGGGTGGCTCCCATCAGTCCACACATACAATTCTAGAATGCACATGATATACAGCCATACATGTAGCAAAACACTCATGGCAAAGCTGATTTCCTGTCCCACTTCCACTTGATTCCCTTGCCATCATTTCACCAATCCCTCTACCATACCTGGATCCTTAGCTACTGTCTGCTCTCTCTCCATCTTCCTGGCCTCTTTGTTCTGTTCCACAGAGAACCAGGTCCGTGTGATCGGTGAGCCCTGCACATGAGAAAGAGATTCTTCAGGAAGCACCTGGATTTCTAACACAGTACTGTGCTCAGTGGATGAAGAGAAGATTCACAAATGATTCCCCAATTGTCCTGCAGGGTCAGAATACTGAAGTCATTAAGAAAGAATTCTGTTATTATAACATGAATCCCACTTGAATTCACAATTCAGGGGAGAAATGAAACTGAATGTTAGGGATCAGAATATTTTACATTGTTGAGGTTCTGAATTTGTCATGGACCAAAAATGACGGAAGTTTTATACCTCTCCTAAAGGGGCATACACAAGAAGAGATGACATTTATTTTTTAATTTTGTTCGAGATGTGAGACTCATTCACACACGGGGAGCAAGCAATCTAGTCTTACCTACAGAAACTGGACTACTGCAATTCTACAACATTCAGTTTCTGTACAAAGCCCTCTGAGCACAGTCCAGGCATTGCTCCTCTTCCTGGGAGATGTCCACAGTTACACCAATGATTATCAACAAACTACAAAATAACAAACAACACTTTGAATTGTCCTGTTTGTTCACATGTTTAATCCTAGCACTTGGAAGAAACATGTGGGTGGAACTCTCTGTTTTCTAGTCCAGCCGGATCTACATGGTGAGTTCTGGGCCAGAGAAACACAGTGAGTTCAGCAAACACAAGAACCAAAAACTAACAGTTTGGTCATGTGTCCATGAACAATGCCTTTCTTGAACCGAGGAGACAAAAGACTATTGCAGGCATCTTTTCTGATGTACATGATCATAATTATTGAAAAGATGCTTTTTATAAATCATTCTATACTATAATGCCTCTTTTTTTTTTTGAGAAAGGTTTCTATATGCAGTATAATCCCACCAAACGAAATTCTTTGGTCAAATTAAGCAAGTTTTATTTTCTGTCAGACAGGGTTATCTCCCTAAAGCAGGGTTTGAAAATATAGCATTGAACTCAGGAAAAAGTGGGGCTTATACATTCCCCAAAACTGCAGGGCAAGGGGGTTTTCAACTGTTAGTGGACTTCCAGATTAACTTTTGTTAAATAGGAACTTGGCCGAACATTTTCTAATTATTTGGCAGAACATCTTATCTTATCAGGGTATGTTCAAACTGTGAGTCAGACTCCAGAGGGTGGGGAGCACGTCAAATTCCAAAAACAGGTTAAAGCACAGTCAAGTTGAATTTAGCAGCAAACGGAAATGAACTTCTGACCTTATAACAAATATCTTCCTCAAGATGGAGTCAGGCTGCTCCATCATAAGCCCTGGCTGTCCTGAAAGTCACTTTGTAGGGACCACTCCCCCACAGTATTTAAATGAACTCTCCAAAGAGGAAAACGTGGTCTCTTTTCATTCTTCCTGGGGGTCAGTGATCCTGTTTGCACGAACTCCCAGTTCCCCCTCGGGACCACCCGAGAGCCCAGAACTCCCATTAAACCTGGATATTTCTTAATTCGGCTTGTTTTGATTTGGCTTGATTGGGATTTTGCGTTGGCAGAGAGCTCAAGTTAGGAAATATTCCTAACACCTGCCTCTGCCTCTGGAGTGCTGGGATTAAAGACATGAACCGCCACCACCTGGCTCATAATGTTTTTTCTAACTGAAAATACTGTGACCTGACACCCTCAAATAGCATACCTGGCTTTCCTTGGAAGGTGCAACACTAAGAACACAGCACAAGAAGACACATATACCCCACCCCCACCCCGGCCCGCCTTTTTGTTGTTTGAGACAGAGTCTCACGATGTAGCTATGGGTGTCCTGGAACTCGCTATGTACTCTTGGCTGGTCTCAAATTCACAGCGATCCACCAGCCTCTGCTCCCTGAGTGCTAGAATTCAAGGCCTGTGCAATCAGGTCTGGTTAAGACACTTTTTTAGAATGCTGTGTTTACATAACAGAGTAAGTATGTGTCAGATGAAAAATTAATGATGAGTAAAGAGTTTACTTTTAAGTGCGAATGTTAACAACCATACATGTAAAACTCGCAAATAGATATCTTCATAGTCAATTAAAACTGCAGCCATTCCTTTCATAACTAATATCTAAAAGCGCTGCAGGGATGCTATGTCCTCAAGTCCCCAGGTGTAACACGGACGTTAGCATGGATGAGAATGGTAATTTTGAAGAACTTTGTCGTTTCCACCACAGCCAAAAGAACCGCGTTTGCAAATATCAAGAACCGAAATCAAGGGGCTAAAGAGATGGCTCAGTGGTTAAGAGCATTGCCTGCTCTTCCAAAGGTCCTGAGTTCAATTTCCGGCAACCACATGGTGGCTCACAACCATCTGTAATGAGGTCTGGTGCCCTCTTCTGTCCTGCAGACATACTCACAGACAGAATATTGTATACATAACAAACAAATAAATAAATAAATAAACCGAAATCAAATGTTCTACTAATATTATTTTTATAAGAATATTTTGGCAATCAGAAGATCAATTAAAAAAAATCAGGCTTATTCCATATGATCTAAAATACACAAAGGGAAAGACATTCACAGCAGAAGTTGAATTTCAGAGCCGGTTTCCTTCCGAACAGCAGAGAAACTGCTCTCACCCCAGGTCCCTTCCCTCCTGGGTCCCAGCCCCTCAGCTCCTCTGACCTGGGAGGTTCCAGGGCCGCTGGGCTGCGGTTTCCACCACTGCGCTGCTGACTTTCCCAGGTCGCCCCGCGGCGACTGCGGCTCCAGGGAGTTTTCGCGTCCCCGCAACTTCCAGGTCTGCACCACGGGATTGCGCACAGTGCAGGCCCAAGAGCAACGACAGGGAATGGGTATTGGGTACTTCCGGCTTTGGCTCCTCCGTACAACTTCCCTGGCCTCTCCCAAGGAGTGCTCAGCTTTCCTTCACTTCACTCCTCTAACTCCTCCCACTCTGGACTCTTCTACACCTAACTAAGGTGCCGCTTCCTTCCTTCCAAGCTCAGTTTCCTGTTGTGTGTCTCCGCCCCAACGAACCGGTCCCTCCCACTTCGCCTCAGGCCGCCTTCCACACAGTTCCAGCTGTCAGGCTGTCCCGGACCAGCTCTGCACAGCCTCCCCACATGCTTGCTGCCAGCCATGACCAGAACTGATCTAGAAGGACGCTGGACCCCGGTGTCTGACCCCACAGTGAGTTCTGAACCTTTCAGATACGTGACAAGCAGCCTAACCTCTACGTGACTACAAGCCTCCCGGGCTATATACTTTATATAATATATATATATACTTTATATATAATAGCAGGTTTAATTCAGATGCCAGATTCCCATCCCCAACACAAACATGACAAGCCAAAACAAAATACTGCAACTGTATTTTGACCTGGGAGATGAGAGACATTTCAGGAACTTGGATTTTCAAAAGAAATAGGGGTCTGAAAAAGTCAGATGTTGGCTATGAAGGGATTGTTAGAAGAATCACTGCTTTTAGCTCTAGTCCTCTGCTGAGCCCATCAGGTCCCAACACAAGTTCCAAATCTACAGTCTCAGAGATGGCCCTGGTTATTCAAAGGGAATCCAGGAAAAATTAATAGAGATCAACACAATAGAGAGTTTTGTGGAGCAAGACAGTCGAGATGTAGAAGGTGAAAGTGAGTATTTGAGGCACACACAACACAGAGGCACACACTCTATGTGTTGTGTGAAATACTTAACAATAATTTTTTAAGTGTTCACATCAGTCTCTAAATTCTTTTTGGTTGTGTCAGTATCTGATTTAATATCAGGAAATACCAAGTGTCAGAAGTATTGCTTTTTGTGTCAAGTATTTTAAGAAGATTTGATGTTAGTTCTTTGAAGTTTTGACAGAATCCTGTCAATCTGGCTAATGGACTTGTCTTAAAGGGGCATTTTATTACTTCTTCAGTGTCATTGCTATTTATAGTTTTATTTACATTATTTATTTTATGTTGTAAAATTTGGAATGCTTCATGCTCCAGGAAATTATGCGATACTCTAGCCAGGCAGTGGTAGAGAACACCTTTAATCCCAGCACTCAGGAGGCAGAGGTTTGAGGCCAGCCTGGGCTACAAGAGCTAGTTCCAGGACAGGCTCCAAAGCTACACAGAAACCCTGCCTTGAAAAACAAAAAAGAACAACATCAACAACAAAAACTCTAGTAGAATGGTTGATTTTGCAAACTCGATTGGCTTTGTTATGGTGGAAAGCACAACGCTCTTGAAACTCACATTCATCCATGCTAATTTCCCTGTTAAGCCATTTACATATTCAAGAGAGTGGTACCTGGATCTGAGGAGCCTACATCCCCAGAGAACTTTTAGATAATAGTCCTCAAAGGAATGCTTGCAGATTTGATAGAATCTGAAAATATTTTTTTTCAAGCTCCACAGGTATGGTTGTAAACAATAACATTTAAAAGCAAACTTTTTATCGTTATTTTTTTATCTGATGTTATGTGCTCTGATGTAACCACAGAATTCTGAAAAGTGTCTTTGCCAGACCCGGTGGCACAGGCCTTGAATACTGGCACTCAAGAGGCAGAGACAGGCCAATCTCAGTAAGTTTGAGACCAGATTGGTGTACATAGTGAGTTCCAGGACACACATAGCTACATGGTGAGACCCTCTCAAAAGAACAAAATGGAAGGAACTATTGTATGAACAGTCCTTTTACTCCTGAACATAAACCCAGGGAACTCCACACCCTACTATTGAGATATTTGCACCCTATGTTTATTGCTGCTTATTCATCAAAGCAAATCATTGGATTCAACCTGATTGTCTGTGAACAGATGAATGGACAATAAAAATGGTACATATATGGTCCATACATTGTTGTGTGCTATTTTGATTGTTATGACAAATAAATCTTGCTTGAAGTCTCAGAGGGCAGAGCTAGCCACTAGATAACCATAGAGGTTTGGAGGACTGGGGGTAGAGAGAGAGACAGAGACAGAGAAGGAGAGAGGCAGAGAGAGTGTGACAGAGAGAGACACAGAGACAGATACAAGAAGTGGTAAGGTAAGGCAGAGATAGCATCTTGGTCCTTTTGTACGAAGGAACTGAAGAGGTTGGAAGCTACTGGTGGCTGCTCCTTTTTCAGGGTCTTACCCAATATTTGACTCTGGATTTTTTGATAAAGAGTAATTAGATTAATGCTTCAATATACAAAATATAATCTTAATCAGAAGAAGAGAAAAGCGTAAAATAAACTTGCAGAAGAATGTTTGGACTTAGAATAAGAAATATTAACTGAGGTCATACAGTGTCAGAAAGAAGAAATCATTTCCCCCATGTAAAGAATCTAGCCACTAATATATGTTTATGGAAACAACATAATGTAAAAGCAGAAATGGAGACACAAGGGGACAAATTTAATTATGAAGAAGTACAGATAAAAACAAAGAAGGAAGGTAAACTAACTGGGTTCCTCTGTGTAGCCCTGACTATCCTTAAACTCACTCTGGAGACCACGCTGGCAAGGAACTCTAGATCCATCTGTCTTTGCCTCCAGAGTGCTGGGATTTAAAACATGTGACACCATTGCCACTTGGCTTATTATGTCCTTTCTAACCATAAAAATACTGTGACATGATACTCTCCAACACTATACTGTGACTTTCCAGGCTCTAAATTCCAGCATTAGGAACTCAGCACAGGAAGATACATTTCTTTTCTCTTTTTTTTTTCTTTCATTTTGTTTTTGTTTTTATTTTATGGATTGTTGAGACAGGGTTTCACTATGTAGCTCTGTCCTGGAACTCGTTATATAGATCAAGTTGGCCTCCAACTCACTGAGATCCACCTGTGTAAGCCTCCCCAGTGCTAGGGTTAAAGGGTTTGTCACTAGTCTTATCAAAGGCACTTTTCAGAATGCTGTATTTACATCACAGAGTGTATATGTCTCAGATGGAAAATTAATGGTGGATAAAAAGTTTACTTTTAAATGTTTGTTTAAAACCATACCTGTGAAACTCACTACATATATATTTATGTGTGGATTCAATTAATATTGAGGGCATTCCTTTCAAGACTAATATCTAAACGCTCTCCAGAAATACCAAGTTCCCAGGTCTATGTGACACTCTTGAGTAAGGAACACAGAAGTTCGAGTGGATGATTGTAAATGTGAAAAGTTTTGTTTCCAACACACCAATGAGAACTATGTCAGCAAATATGAACAGATAAATTTAAATATTCTACAAGAGTATTTTTATAAGAATATTTTGGCAATCATAAGATCAATGAAAAAAAGGGATTAGTCCACTTCACATGATCTAAATTTTACCAACAAAGGTAAGACATCCACAGCAGAATTTGAGAGCCGACAGCAGAGAAACTGATCAAACCCCTGGTCCCTTTTCTTCTGTGTCCCAGTCCTGCAGCTCCTCTGATCTGCGATTCCACCACCGCAGCGCAGCTGACTGGTGACTTTCCCAGGTCGTCCCACGCGGCGATTGAAACTCGGGGGCGGGAGAGGGGGGTTTGTGTCCCCATGCCACGCCACAGTGTCCTCTGTATCCAGGTCTGCACAACGGGATTCCCCACTGTGCAGGCCCCCTAGCAACAAGAGAGAATGGGTACTCGGTACTTCTGGGTTTGACTCATCTGTTCAGCTTTCCTGGACTCACTCACTGGGTGTTTTAGCTTCTTTCCTTTAACCCTTTGCATTCTCCAAGCTTCCTCTACACCCACCTAAATAAAGGTTAACCTCTGTTTCAAGGTGAGCATTCCAGCTACACTGAACCGTCCCTCCCACTCTCGCCTTCCACAAGCTCCAGCTGTCAGATTGCCTTGGACCTGCTCTGCACAGCTTCCCATATGCTTGCTGCCTGACTAGACCAAAACTGGATCTACTAGGACGCTGCACCCCAATATCTGACCCCCACACGGAGTTCTGAACCCTCCAGATAAACGATGGGCAGCCTAACCTTGACCTGACTACCAGCGTCCCGGGTTACAGACTTAACTCTAAAAGACTAAATTCAGATGTCAGGGTCCCATCGTCAACACAGACAAGTCAAAACCAAATACTCCAATTGTGCCTTGGGAAGAGGCATTTTTAAGAACATGGATTTTGAAAAAAAAATAAAAGTTTCTATAGAATGTTAGCGCATCGCTAACAGCCCAGTGCAGAGTTTATTCCGCCCTATACTGCTTTAGTCACTAGATGGTCATTTTACTAACTCAAAAACAAGTTTTTCTTTTGCAACTCATGCTAAAGGTGCTTTTAAAATAAACTGCTATTTTGTTTAAGTGCAATGGTGAAAGCGGAGACTTTTGTTGTTCCAGATGCAGGAAATAAGCACAGTATGTGGTCCCAGACCTAAAAAGTCAGTTAGATCATTCTGTCTATGGTTCTGCCTAGCATTTATTGGTCACAGAGGCTCCAAAGGCACCCCAAACGTAAGTGTATATGAAGAGCCAAAATGGATGTTATGTTCTTCCTGTTTGTGCTTTTTCTTTGCAGTGTAGAGTCTCTGATCGTGAGTAATGTTGTAATATAAAATGTTGAGGATCATCTAGGTTGTTTCCAGTTTCTGGCTATTACAAATAAAGCTGCTATGTACATAGTTGAGCAAATATGACCATCCTTTGGATATATGCCCAAGAATGGTATGGCTGGGTCTTGAGGTATATTGGTTCCCAGTTTTCTGAGGAACTACCACATTGACAAAGTTGCTGTACAAAATTTCACTCCCACCAGCACAGGAGTAGTCCCTTTTTCCACTAGAATGAGCTATCACTTGTATTTTTTTATCTTCGCCATTCTGACAGGTATAAGATGAAATCTCAGAGTCGTTTTGGTTTGCATTTTCCTGAAAGTTAAGGATGTTGAACATTTATTTAATAGTTTCCCAGTCATTTGGTATTTCTCTATGAAGAATTCTCTGTTTAGATCATCGTCCCATTTTTAAA